TTAACTTTTAATTTATCATTAACTTTGTTTTATTAATTGAACTAGTCATGTTTAAAGCTTAAACTAATTTAGGTTGTTAGCTAGAATATAGCCCATGCTTTTCCCAGCCTGTAAGTCTTCTCACTTATTTAAGGAAAAATAAAGTTTAGACAAAGAAAAGTAAAGGTACACATTTGGATGTAATTTAAACCTCATTTTGATGACTGTTGGCCTAGTGATTTTAGATTCTGTTCCAGTATTGTTTTCAATAATAGTGTTACTATAGGAACTAATATAAATGCATGCTTCAAGGGGGAAAAAAAATCTCTCCACTGATCGTGTTGTATATTGGGATGAAATTTTTCTTTATTAACTTTTGTAACTCACTCTAAACTTTGCAAGACTGTTTTTCCCAAAGAAATATTTGGAGGATCTTGTTACAAATACTTTTTTGCCCTCTTAATCACATCATCTGTTTCTTGTATTGACAGTATGCTGCAATTAATTTAAAAGGGAAAAGATGCAGAAAGAGTTTGTTTCAGGAATCCTGTATCTTCTTTCTCCTATCTGTGCTTCATGCAGTACTCTGGAGGAAAGAAAACTTTCTGCTTTCCTGCTTCTAAACTGAATAAATGGTGTTCCTGTAAAAGTCAGTTAACTTACATATAATTTCTTTCTTTTGTTAAAAGGAAGATTGTGGTAAACATAATTGTGTAAGTCCTTGAGTATTATCAGCATAATTATTGTACGAACAAGTGGTTGAAATACATTAAAATGTATCCATTACCCTGTTTCATTGCAAATTTGGTAATTTTAAAAAGTGGCCTAAATGTCTTAATAAACTCTTATGTAAGAAAAATTAAATGATAAAGTGTATCTACATAATGCCTTATTATTAAATGTCATTAATAATATTAAAAATGATGATGGTTGTATTTGAGATAAAATGATATCCATGGAAAGATATTAAGGCAGAAAAGATTTCAAAACTGTAAACTATGATCCCATTTTTATGTAAAAGTGTGTATATATGTGTGTAAGTGTAAATGTGTGGAGGAATATACAACAGATGTTACCGGTAGTTATCTCTAGGTTTTATAATAGAATATTAGCATTGTTTTCATTAAAGTTTTTTTTTTTTAAAAAATCCTTTGAAAAAGAAGTGAGAGTTGTGACAAGTAGAAGCAATATGAATGGTTTTTTTGATTTGTTGTTAGGAAGGAGGTAATGTTTAGGAAAAGGGTCCAAAATGTTTTAGTGATCAAAACGAAGTCACATGCACTTTTCCTCTGACTTGCTGGCATTTTAGTTGACTACAGGTCAAAGGAAAGATAATGCATGGCAGAAGCTGAATCTCTACTATAATCTGACCTTAATTTGGTAATCATGTTTGACTAGACAGGATAGATCTTAAATCTGGAATTGGTGGGGAGAAGATATTAAAAGGTTTTAGAAATGTGATTTCCTACGATGAATATCTCCTGAAGATGAAAATGGTAAAATAGTTCATGTCAGGTTTAGGCTAAGCATGAATTGGCCTTTCACAAGTTTGTGTCTGAGCATTGTGTTTGTTTCAGTTTTTATATTTTCTTTAATTAAAAAGTAACATGCTTCTTTTAAAAAAACTTCAAAAAGAACAAAAGTATTAAAAGTGAGAAGAAAAAAAAAGACCTACTTAGGTTTCTCCCTCACCCAGAATCCTCCAGGGGATTATCTTTTTTTATCTAAGAAAACAGATCTGAGAAATAAAAGAACCGTGTCTCAAGAAAGCAGGCATTCTTTATAGTATGATAGAATGATCACTTGTTAGGAATCAGGAAATTTAGCTTCTAGTCTCAGCTAGTCCTTATTTTAAAAGGGTATATATGAATTATTTCTGCGATTCTCAGTCATTCTGTTACACATGTGAGCAGAGAGTATTTCATATTTAACTTACCATCATAGCTAGACTAAGTTATTATCCAGTGTTACAGAGAAAATCAGTAGCATAGCTGAAAATAAATTCAGCTCCTAGCACACAGTTCTCTTGGTCTTTCCTTCAGGTTGCTTTCTTAGAGAAATGACGTGATTTTTTACTATGTTTAAGAACAGCACATTGCCAAACAGAAGTAAAATTAAGGACTTCTACCTTGTAATTTATTTGGTATTTTGTAGAACAGCTGACTTTCTATTTCATGATCACTTGCTAAAAATAATAGTCATTGTTATTTGGTTTTATTATATGCCTTTTTCTTGAGTTATGGTTGGGGAGTGAGCATGGGAGACAAATGTCTAAAGAAGCATTAAATTTTTTTTGAAATTTTAAAAAATCAAAACCAAAAATATATATAAGCATATTTTAAAAAATAATTTAATTCAGACTGGCCTATCTCCATGCCTGCTTGGTCAGTAACTCTGGACTTTGGAGATCTATCTAGTGATGATAAACCTGTTCTATATGGTATAGGCCAGAGAAAGCAGCTTTGATGGGAGATTTCTGCACTAGTGTGGGAAAGAAATGTTTAGTTAACATTTCAAAAGAACTCAACCTGTTAACATGTATGTATTCCATCAGTAGATTTTCTTGAGCTCTCTCATTTGTACAGTCTTAATGTTTTCTGTTTGCGACAAAAGAAATAGCACATGCATGTCAAAATGAATTATAAAATCTCAGTTAACAGCAGTATCCATTAAGAAAATCAGTTCATTTTCTTTCATGAAATTATGAAGTAATTACTTCAGATGTTTATTGGGGTAGCAAGATTAAAAGTTTACAAGATATCAAATATCAGAATATTTAGGATTAGTGTCAGCATTTGCTTTTGTACAGAAAAAACTTAGGGCCTCATGATTTAAATTTTTCATCTTCAGTTATTTAACAAACATTTGATTTCCTACTAGGTGTTGGACCTTATACTCTCATAGGTATGGTTAAAGGTATGAACACAGAATTCTTTACAAGTTGTAGGCTTTGTCTATGCTAAAACTTATGGGGGCATTAAGAATTACTAGATACAAATTAAATTTAATTTTCTATATACTTTTCTGTACCTTCCTTTGACCAGTAAATATTTATGTTCCTTCACTAAATTCACACTTAATTTAGAAAGCATGTTCTAAGGGAACTTGCTATTAGAAGCTGTGGAAAATCATATTGCTAAGTGAGTGAATCAATTTGCCATTTATATATTCAGGTTTTTATCTGTGATTTCTTAATAAATAACTTGTGAATATTTAAAAATTTTTATTAGCAAGTAACATATCTGTGATTCACTTTAATCCCCTCTTACCAATCTCTTTTTGTGTGTCTCTCTCTCATAATCATAATTACACAGAGCACAAGTTTGGTGTTCTTACTGAATATATAATTGATCCCAATTTTTAAGCTTTTAATTTTTTAACTTTGAAAGACTGACTTAAGCCTGGCCAGGCGTTGCTCGGTNACGCGGACGTCAGTGCTGTCCCTGTCACATCCCCATCACGACTTCAGGGGCAAGGAAGCAAGCCAGCCTGTCACCAGTCTCCAGAGCATGGCTTGTCTTATCCTCAGTCCCTTGGTTTTACTCTTCATGACTGAGGGCTGAGCGCACTGGCCTGCCCTCCCCTCGGGCAGATGGCGCGGTGCCCCCAGTGCCCTGCCTGGCGGGGTCAGCACCTGCTACCTGCTGGGGGTTGGGGGGTTTTGGGAGGCTGGGGCCCTGGGGGAGGCCAGGCTCCTTCTGACTTCGTTTTGCTGGTGCCGAGGGGCTGGGGAGGGGGCCTTGTGCCTCGTGGGATGTGACCTTCCAGGGATTGAGGCACAGGTCACTGTGGGACCAGGCAGTGTCCCCTGGTTGTCTTGGACGCAGGAAGATCACAGAATTGCAGTGAGTTTGGCCCAGGGAGTGGCCCCCCCAGGGGTGGGGGTGGGGTCACAGAGGGTCTGGGCTTCCAGTGGGGAGGTGCCAGCAGCCCTGGGGGGGTCCATTAGGGCCTCAGGGAAGAGGCCCTGCCCACTCCTGCAACCCTGCTGGGCCCCCTGTGCTGGGAATTCAGATAAACGGCCCCCTTTCTGTGTCACTAAGAGTTAACTGGGGCCCAGCAGGGGGCGTGCAGGAGGCAGCCAATCAATGACTCTCATTGATATTTTCCTCTCCTCCCTTCCTGTCTCTGAAATCAATAAAGATATATTAAAAAAACAAATAACAAAAGACTGACTTAAGACACTGTGACTTTGAAAAAAAGGCACTATGATAATAAATTGATAAATAATGTATATCAGTCTAAATTTGACCCATGGGTCCTTATAGTGCAATTTATATTTGACTTTCCTACAATTGAAATATAAGGACTATATGTTCCAGTTAAACTGTCTTGTAGCTGTTTAATTTAGATTTGGTTTTTGTTAGTACAATAATTGGTAGCTAAAGTGATTGTGAAAATAAAGTTGTTAAATAATGTATAAATAGGAGTAGCTATGATTTTTAACACAAGCATCCAGCGTAATTTCTGATTTAAGAAGACTTATGTTAGCATTTATTATGAACTTAGAACAAAGCACAAAATATGTGTGAAAAAATTTAGGAACAAGTGCCCTGGCCAGTGTAGCTCGGTTGATTGAGCATCGTCCCATACACCGAGAGGTCACCCTTTCAATTCCCTGTCGGGGCATGTGCCTAGGTTGCCGGCTGGATCACCAGTAGGGGGCATGCAGGAGGCAGCTGATTCATGACGTTTCTCTCAGCGATGTTTCTCCCTCTCCCTCTTCCTTCCTCTCTTTCTTAAAATTAAAATTAAAAATTAGAAAAAAGTTGAGAAAAAACCTTTGAACACTGAAGTGAAAAGTAGCCATTAAAAAATCGACTCCCTAAAACATGCTATATAAGCGTGAAATTCTTACATAAGAGGCTGGTGTTGTTTAGTGACTGTTTTCTAGGTAATTGATCATCTATATCAAATATATATAATAGCCAGTTATATATATTAGTTTCTAGTCTAACAGTACACCAAATATGATCCAGAGGGAGGAAATAATTCTATGTCACTTCAACCCATCTAAACAGGACACCATACTTGCAGAACTTCTTCAGATACATAAAGAACACATTGTAGGATATCATGAACATGATTCTCTTTTGGACCACAAAGAAGAAGAAGAGTTGACCGAAGAAGAAAGAAAAGCAGCTTGGGCCGAGTATGAAGCAGAGAAGAAGGTAGGTCATTTGAAATGCTTTTTGGTTTTTGTTTTGATGTTAGTCATTTGAAAAAGCAGTGAGGAAGAAAAAGGTCACATTTGAAATGGGTGAGTCTTCAGGAACCAAGTCCCCGGATATGAGAGTCTGTTTACAGGCTTTGGCAACCTTTGGTGGTGGAGTGGGAAGGGAGGAGAGAAGAAAATATTTTCCACTTACAGAGTAGTAGCCCCATTTCTGCTTAGCACTGGCTGAATTGAGAGATTAGTGGAAAGGTATATATTTAGCATCACTTAACTCCCATCAACACCCTCACTGCAATAACAGACATACAGGAGCTTAGAGTTTAGAGGTAGGAAAGATTAAATGTTTTAGCATGTGTGCTATGAAATCTAAATTTTGACTGAATGTGTATCAGAACACAAAAATATTTCATTATTGGACATTAATGTCAATCTCCAGCAGCAGCTTTATTTAAAATAATTCCATGTCTGTTTCAAACCAACCCACTTGAGGAAAAATGTGCCCGAGCATGGGAAACCTTATACTAATACATGAATTCTTTTTAAACTCCTAACTCATTGTACCAAACTTCTTTACCGTTAATGTGATGTTAGGAGTCTCATCAGAATTATGAGTTGCCCCATTCTGTGGGAATTATCAGAAAAAGAGTACACCTTTAGGGGTTAAAGCTTTCTTTGTAATAAGATCTTGGTTTTGAGTGAAAGGGGTGTTTTCTTTGTGTGTGGAAGTGTTAATAATTTCCTAGATCTGAGAATATGGATTCTTTTCTAAACCAGTAGGTGATGTAGAATTTCAAGTTTTAAATCACAATGTGGGTAAGTGCATATTTTTTTGTTTTTAGGGACTGACCATGCGTTTCAACATACCAACTGGGACCAATTTACCCCCTGTCAGTTTCAACTCTCAAACTCCTTATATTCCTTTCAATTTGGGAGCCCTGTCAGCAATGAGTAATCAACAGCTGGAGGTAAGTTGTGAAGTACAAAAGTAGTTAAACTTGAATTAAAGGCAATTTCAAGTACCCTGTTTTTGAGGGTTCCCTAGGCAGGAATATCACATTCTCTAAAAGATTACCTCTGAATAGACCAAGAAAATTTTCTTTTATTTGTTGACCTTTTTGAACCAGCATAGTGTAGTAAAATGTAGTTTGTTAAGAGCACAAGGGAATCAGGCCCTGAATTAATGTAGTCTGAATTACTTTATTTAAGGAACAATAGGACAGCTGACTGGGTAGGGAAATAGCACTTTCTTCAGTTATAAAATATTTTGATTAAACAAATTTCTTACTTAATGTTTGAAAGTAGGGTAAATGCATACATTGATTTACATTCTAATGCCATGTAGTTGCAACATTGAGTATATGATAATGCCCAGTATTATGAAATAATTGATTTAAAACTAGAATCAATTATGAAGTAAATAAGAAAGATTAGGTTTTATTATACCAATAATTTAATGATTTAATTGGATCTGTGATTTCCTTTTTAAAATGTGCTTATGGAGTCATTTAAATTATTAAATTATTGGTTCAATAAAACCCATACTTTTATCTTCCTAACAAGACCCTTACTGATGAGTTTTATTCTACTTTATTGATGCTAAAGTTTGTTGTTCTTTTAAATTCTATAAATTGGCAAAGGGAAGAACCCTTAAACTTCAAAACTATATTGTCTTTTATGCCCTATGTAACTTATTTCTTACACTCTTCTAGGACCTCATAAATCAAGGAAGAGAAAAAGTTGTGGAAGCAACAAACAGTGTGGCAGCAGTGAGGATTCAGCCTCTTGAGGATATAATTTCAGCTGTAGTAAGTTAATTGGCAATTGTCTTACTCCAACTTGAAATTTGTGTTCTTTCCCCCACCATTTGTTTTAATTTTTAGTTGTCTGTTTCACTACTTCTGTGAGGAAAAGAGTGTAATTCTTATAACTTGATTTGCAATAGTAAAACACTAGTAAACTGGATAATAGTGGGAAGGTATAATTCAGCAGTTTTACCTAGGTGTTGGCACAAAAGAGAAATGGCTGAAATCTAAAAATTGGGAGGTCAATCTATCATAGAAATGTAAGCATTGTTTACATAAACGTATTTTAATGATCAATTGCACAAATTAAATGCAGTTTTATTCCAGAGATAGCCAAGCCTTGTACAACAGTGGAAAACTTAGTGCCCTGCTTTTTATTTATTTTATTTTATTATTTTATTATTTTATTTTATTTATTTATTTTTTTTATTGATGATAGTGTTACAGATGTCCCCCTTCTTTTTTCTCCCCCTTGCTCCCCACCACCCAGATCCTGTCCCACCCCAGGCCTTCACCACCCTATTGTCTGTGTTCATGAGCAATGCATATATGCATATAAGTTCTTTGGTTAATCTCTTCCCTCCTCCTCTCCCCTCTTTCCTCTGAGATTTGTCATTCTGTTTTGTGTTTCCATGCCTCTGGTTCTATTTTATTCACCAGTTTATTGTGTTCATTCGATTCCACATATAAGTGAGATCATATGATATTTTTCTTTCTCTGACTGGTTTATTTCGCTTAGCATAATAATCTCCAGGTCCCTGCATGCTGTCTCAAAGGATAAGAGACCTTCTTTTTTATAGCTGCATAGTATTCCACAGTATACCTCAGTTCTTTAATCCATTCATCTACTGATGCACACTTGGCATCGTTGTTTTCTTTTTTAAAAGAATAAAAGGAAAGGGAGAAAAAAACTTGAAAAATACTGAATATCTTCTAGTAGTTTAATTTTTTTCCTTAGTTCTACTGCAATAGGTGTAAATAGAAACTTTTTCTTTTAGTGGAAGGAAAACATGAATCTCTCAGAGGCCCAAGTACAGGCATTAGCATTGAGTAGACAAGCCAGCCAGGAGCTTGATGTTAAACGAAGAGAAGCAATCTACAATGATGTATTGACAAAACAACAGATGGTAAGAATTCTGAGTATCTCTTGGTTATGTTTCATTTTCTTAAATTTATAATAATGGGTTTGTATGATGTCTGTGTCAGTAACCATGCCTCATATGGATGGATGGATGGACATGGTTATTTCTGGAAGAAATTTTGTCAGAAAACCTAGTAATGTCAAGGAAAGTTAATATCTTTTGTTACAGAGGAGCAGCATCTTCCCAAATGAGTCCCCTTGAAGTTTATATATGCTATCATGCATATAATTTTATTTTTTATATATCCTGGACATTTTAAAAAGGAATTGTGCTTGACTTTTTTTTTTTTTTTTTACCATATTTACCATTTTTAAACAATTTCCCCAAATAAGTATACTTTTAAATATATTTAATTTGAGAGTAAAGAATGGAACTCTGGATGATATGACACCGGTTCCTACTAAATTATGTTATTCTTTACAAGGCCAGCATTATTTTATCACTACAAAAATAAAATGTTGCTTTGGTTTAAAAAAAAAAGGATAGCATATTCCAGGATCCTTGATCATCTTTCCTAGCAGTTGTTTGCCAGCCATCTGCCTTGCACTGGGAAATTTCAACTCTTGACACCAGAGAATCCATTTCTGTGGCATGAATTTTACTTAGAAAGCACTGTAGAGTTGTGTGGTTTTAAATTATCTTAGGAAATTTCAGACATTCCAGGTAGGAATTATCCCCACTGTGAGTGCTTTTTCCCTTTGGTATTTGTCACTAAAAATGTTCATTTATGTGTCATAATGTGAAATATTCAAAAGAATGGCAAAAAAAGGAGACTTGACAAAAAGTGCTGTAACTAATACTTGAGACTAATCACAGTGCAAGACAGGTTACTATGACAACTACCTAAATGCTGCTTGCAATACAATAGTCAAGTCATTAGGAGAATTTAGCCCTAAATGGTGTTACTAACTGGTTTCTACAGTAATGGCCCTGTGAATGCCATCAAATTAGTAATGGTGATAACAATAATGTGTTTTCCTTTTGGTATGGTACCCCCCTAACAAATTGATTTTAACTTAAAACTTGATACTTGCCTCTTTGAGACAGGTCATGCACTTGTAACAGCTCCCTTTTCTCTTTTTAGTTAATCAGCTGTGTTCAGCGAATACTTATGAACCGAAGGCTCCAGCAGCAATACAATCAGCAGCAACAGCAACAAATGACTTACCAACAAGCAACACTAGGTCACCTCATGATGCCAAAGCCTCCAAATTTAATCATGAATCCTTCTAACTACCAGCAGATTGATATGAGAGGAATGTATCAGTCAGTGGCTGGTGGTATGCAGCCGCCACCATTACAGCGTGCACCACCCCCGATGAGAAGCAAAAATCCAGGACCTTCCCAAGGGAAATCAATGTGATTTTGCACTAAAAGCTTAAAGGATTGTTAAAATCATAGAAAGATCTTTTATTTTTTTAGGAATCAATGACTTAACAGAACTCAACTGTATAAATAGTTTGGTCCCCTTAAATGCCAATCTTCCATATTAGTTTTAAATTTTTTAAAAATAGGGCATACCATTTCTTCCTGGCATTTGTCAGTGATGTTGCCTAGAATCTTCTTACACACATTGAGTACAGAAGATATTTCAAATTGTTTTCAGTGAAAACAAGTCTTTCCATAACAGTAACAACTCCACAGATTTCCTCTCTAAATTTTTATGCCTGCTTTTAGCGACCATAAAATTGTCATAAAATTAATGAATTTAGGAAAGAATACAGATTTATATATTCATTCTTTACATATAAAAACACACAGCTGAGTTCTTAGAGTTGATTCCTCAAGTTATAAAATAATTTTGTATTTAATCCATTTCTTGAGTAAAGTGATTGAAATGGTTTTAATGTTCTTTTGACTGAAGTCTGAAACTGGGCTCCTGCTATATCGTGTCTGTGACTGAAAGTTAGAAACTAAGGGTTATCTTTGACACAGAATTGTGTGCAATATTCTTAAATACTACTGCTCTAAAACTTGGAGGAGTCTTGCAGTTATCTTAGCATTGTATAAACAGCCTTAAGTACAGCCTAAGAAGAGAATTCCTTTTTCTTCTTTAGTCTTTCTGCCATTTTTTATTTTCAGTTATATGTGCTGAAATAATTACTGGTAAAATTTCAGGGTTGTGGATTATCTTCCACACATGAATCTTCTCTCTCCTGGCACTAATATAAAGCACATCTCTTAACTGCTTGGTGCCAGTGCTAGTGCTTCATCCTGTTGCTGGCAGTGGGATGTGGACTAACAAAATCAGGTTCTAGCAATTTAGGAGGTTAAGGATGACATTGTGGTTGTTAAGTTCACACCCTGTTTTATAACAATATCAAAATGGCAGACATTGCTGACTTTAAGTTCACATGAGGAATGTGCTTTAACAATTCCCAGTACTATCAGCATTGTGAATTAATTCCTTTTAAAGATAAGGATCACTGGCTTCGATGCTCTTCTTTTCTCTCATGTTCTTTTACCCCAACTTCCCTATGTTTTCTTAAATTACATCTCAAAGTTCAATATTTTTTTTTTTAAAGTTTAGGTCTGTGAGGCAATTTTCTGATCCAAATTAATTCATGTAATACCCTTTTGTGAAGTTTTACTAGAAAATCACTACATTGTTGTTTTTCTTAATCCAGGCCTGTAAAAATGACCTATAAGTTTATTCATGTATAATTTGGTTGCTTGAGTTTCTTAAAGAAAAAGATTGTTAGACTATGGGAGTCAACTTAACATGACAAAAACATTTTTGAGATGATGATATAACAGGTAGTGGAAACAGCTAAGGAATTCTAGAAAAAAGAAAGCTGAGTGGAAGATTGGTATGCTCTAGGTATCACTGGATTAGAATGAATTTAACATTAGCTAAAACTCTTTTGAGATGTTTGGATTATTAAGAGATTTCCATTTTTATCTTGAAAGAACTAGTGGTTTAAACATCCAAGAGCACTAGGTTTGTGATAAGGAAACTTGTGAGGTTTGTTGGATCCACCCCCCCCCCACCTCCCATAATGAATTTTCACTAACAGATTCCATATATTTGGATATTATGCCAGCCGTATAATCAAATTTATTTAATTGGTGGGGGTAGGGGGGGAGATGTATGTTTACTTTAGGAGAAATGAAAAAGACAAGACTTATGAGATAAATATTTGAAGACAGTACACTCTGGCCAACTGTCAGTATTTCTACAAGTCCAGAATACTTTAAACCTGATTTATTAGACCTGGGAACTTTCAACGTGGTCTAATTACTTGCTCAAAGACATAGAAGTGAAAAATTTTAGGCAACCTTCTAAACTGTTTTACCATGATGAAACTATGACTTAATAATACATAGAAGGATTAATTGGAAATAAGAGAGTTTGAAATAAAACTTGGACCACTTTGCATACACTCTTCTCACTTGACATTTTAGCTACATAATATGTACTTTGAGTATAACATCAAGCTTTAACAAATATTTAAAGACAAAAATCACATCAATAAAATACTAAATGGCTCATTTTTATATTTGTTTTAAATGTTTTAAATAGTTGCAATGGCTTAAAAAAATGACGATTTAAAATGTTGCTTGTAATACAGTTTTGCCTGCTAAATTCTCCACATTTTGTAACCTGTTTTATTTCTTTGGGTGTAAAGCGTTTTTGCTTAGTATTGTGATATTGTATATGTTTTGTCCCAGTTGTATAGTAATGTTTCAGTCATCATCCAGCTTTGGCTGCTGAAATCATACAGCTGTGAAGACTTGCCTTTGTTTCTGTTAGACTGCTTTTCAGTTCTGTATTGAGTACCTTAAGTACTATAGAAAAGATGTCACTTCTTCCTTTAAGGCTGTTTTGTAATATATATAAGGACTGGAATTGTGTTTTTAAAGAAAAGCATTCAAGTATGACAATAATACTATCTGTGTTTTCACCATTCAAAGTGCTGTTTAGTAGTTGAAACTTAAACTATTTAATGTCATTTAATAAAGTGACCAAAATGTGTTGTGCTCTTTATTGCATTTTCACAGCTTTTGAAAATCTGTGCATACATTGTTTCATAGAAAATGTATAGCTTTTGATGCCCTATTTAATGGCGGGTTTTTTGCACATTTAGTTATTTAATGTTGGGAGGTCAAGAAGTTTGGTTTTTAAATTTGTTATATACTAAATTATGTAAAAGGAGATCTTTAACCTCAAAAATAATTTACATACCAGGAAGCCTATGTGTGTTTGTGTTAGTTTTGGTTGTCTTTGTGTAATCCAGCACCACCTCTGCTTCCCAAGAGCTGCATCACTCATTGAAGTCAAGCAGGACTACTGATACACACTTGATAAAAAAGCTGCTTACCATCCCAAAGCCATAGGAGGTTGATGGAAAACCTTATTACCTGGCCTCCAAAGAAGCTGAATGTTTTGTAGTCTTCCCTTAGCTATGCCCATTCTCTCTTTAGTATCATGAAATCAGATACATATTTCTGCGCCCCAAACAAAACTTTAAAAACAATTATTTATCCCAGTAACCATTGTTTCTTTTTGGCTTATAGATACTTACTCTAACAATAAGAGAGGTCATCCTTTTACATCCTTATTTCTCTAAAATTTATGTTCAGATTATTACCCACCTTATTTCACCAGACTTATTCTCAAGTGACTTTTGGCTATCTCAAATCAAATCTGCCCTTAGAAAAGAAAGTTCTTCCACCATTGCATTGATTTTTTTTTTTTTTTTCCAAAACTATTCTGTGCCAGTCCCAAAGGAGTGACCAAGTTTCAGAAATGCTTTTTGTCTGTGCAACATTTTATATATGCTGTTATGTTGAGGTGAATAAAATTTAAAAATCCAAAATACATACTGTTTCTAAGAGTATCTGCCAGGTACCCAGACTCTGCCCACATCACTCATGTTGGTTATAATAATAGAATGGCCCCTCTTGCTCTCGTCTAAGAGTTTTACTCCCCAGAGTATATACTGCCAAAGAAATAATGTACAATGTAATATTGCCACCTCTTTTTGGAATAACCTTCCTAACACCTTTGTGACTACTTGGCTAAGGGGATCGCCCTTCCTTCCCCTCACTCTAGGGATCTGTCTTTCTGATAGTGACCAGGACACACCACCAAGGAAGACAGCATATGAATTGAGGCTTTTATTAAAGATAAAGTGTTAATTGAATGAAAAGCTGAGATAAATCCTAAAATACTGCAGACCCTCTTTAATACTTAGAACTAGCACATATTCCAAGCAGTCTCTACCCAGTAACACTTTTCCACATTCTGCTCCAGACCATTCTGTCCTTGTTTCTCCCTGACAGAAACATGCAAGGAAGAGGGAGCTTGGCCCTAATCTCCTTTAGCTAATCATATCCGATGACTACCAAGAGGCTTCTACCTATTAAAGAGACTCGGCCCCCTCTGTATAGTCCTCACATCAAATATGAGTTGGTTTTCAAGAAAGGTGAAGAGAGATGACTTATCAGATGCAAGAATGGGATTCATTTCAGGTATATGAAGAGAAAGTGTGGTATTGAAAGAAAAGGAACACAGGTAGAGAAGGATCAGGAAAGAGACTAGATTGGAGTGGATTGATGGACGGCCTTGAAATCATGAATGAGTAATTCAATACAGAGGATAACAAGGGTCTGTGAGGCAGCTAGTGTGTTCAAAGTAGCTAGTAAAGATGGTGATTTGGGCAGGGGTAATTTGAATGGTTTAGAATGCAAGGTGAAGAAAGATTGGAGACGGGGAGATAATGAGTCCAGGCATTCAGTGACGGACTGCAGATCATTTTAAGGACAAAAGGCAAAAATTCATTAGAGGTTGCATAGAATTCTTAAATTGTAAGAAAAACCTGTTATTTCTTTTTACCCTTTCCCAAGGAGCCCACTTTGTTCAGGGTTTTTTATTTTACACGGAAACTTTCACCTACTCTTTATTACTCTTAAATCTAGTGATAAATCCATTAATGGCATTTCTGTTCTTAAATTTTCATTACTCCTAATTATACTCTTACACATTTGCAGGAAGTGAGTTTGGTCCTTTTAACTAAGTTGAGTGTAATTCTATTTCTTTCCTTAAGCTAACTCTTCAAAGGGCTAAATCCATTCCTGTTACTTTTCCTTGAGACCCATGTATTCCAAGTGCTAGTATCTCTTGGGAATGCTATATTTATCAGTTTCTCTTGGGGTTTTCAAAGTGCTTTGCAGTTATGTATTAACCTGTATATGACATTTGTGAGAAAAGTGAGAAGAATAATTACATTCCCTCCACGACAGTTAAGCTAAAAGACCAAAATCAAATCCATTGCACTTAGTAGGCAGAAGACATTCTAGTTCACTTGAATTGCCTAGGCCTTTTATATCTCATTTGAAAATGGGACTATAATAATGCTTAATTTCTTGAAGCCAAGAGACTGGACCAAGTGATTTCCTGTGGCCCCTTTCAGCTCCAAGAGTTAGGGTTAACAGTGAGCAAAGCAGTTAGAAGCCAAAAGGCAATGTGTTTGTCTAAGTTTACACAGTAAGTTTGTGAGCAGAATTAGAAATCCTTCCCTTTTGACTAACCTTTACTCTCCCTTTACTAAGCTATACCTTTCTTTTCCTCTGTTTAGAAAATGAGAAGTCTGACAGGCATTTTAATGACAAAGCAGATAAGTCAAGTTGTAATTGGCTCTAATTACCACTTCCACAAGCTGTAACCTTTATCTTTGCCCAGAGGCACTCTCAGAGCTGGGTTTCTTAACTGCCTCTGGAACTCAGCTGAAAATGAAAAAAAACAAACATGTTTAAGGATCTGACTCATATCTTGCTTGCCTGATTGGGTTATATACATGTCAAAACATTAAGGTAAATATAAATCACCTTTTGTAAAGTTGACTGTTAAGCAAGAAATTGGTAACTTCCCATTCTAGTATTCATAACTGTAAAGCCCAAATTAGGCCAATATTTAAATTGTCTGGTCTGGATGAAGTTTATAGTGAGTAGGAGTTTATATTAACTCAAGTAAAAACACATATGGCATACTTTTCAAGCTGCAGTTTTTATCAAGAGTCGAATCTTGTGAAAAAACTATGAAAACTAATGAAGAAAAGAGTGAAATAGTAATTTTTTTTTTTTTTCCTGTAGCTGCTTGTCCCCACATGCCTGTAGCAAAGCAGGTAGGAGCCTGTGTCTAGCCTCCTGAATACATTTCAATGAAAACAAAACCAAACTGAAGAGAAAGGAAATGTGGTTAATATGATCATCTGAGGTCTGGTTAGTTCATTCCCAGCTCTTAGTAGGTTTTCAACAATACAGCATGGAGGTTGGGGTTCAAAGGTATTAATAATACAGGCTTGTTTGGACACTATCCTTAGCAAAGTAAACATTTTTCTATTAGGAAATTTTTCTGCCCCTTCTTCCCACATCTTGCACACTCTACTGGATGTGCTAAGCTCAAATGAAGTACCTGCCTGCGATTTCCCCCCCTTTACTTATCCAAATTATCTCCCCCCCCCACAAACCTTTATATTCAAATGCCTCAATGTGTGAGGGGTGGGGAGGGGGGTTAGAACCATAGAAAGCTACAAATGCTAGGGATCTTAGAGACCCTGTGTAGCCAAGCCCTCTTCCTTTACAATCAGGAAAAAAAAGTCCCAGAGGGGAAAGATGCCCAAGGGCATCCATGTTTTCTAGTTTTTATTCCACTTCTCATTTCACTCCATTAAGATGCCTATTACTCTTGTATTCTGATTCATTTTTTCAATCTACCAGACCACATTAAGATTTCAGAATAACTGGTACTGAACTAAGGTTTAAAATGAGAACTGTTTGTGGAAATTAGAGAAGTATGTGAACTAAAATGAAGGGGAAAGAAATTTGTGTGACAACTATAAAATGGGAAGACCCCTGGCATATCCCCTAAGACTTTAATTTGGTGTCCAGGGCATTAGCTTCAGGATTTTGTTTCAGAGGGATATTTAATTTATTTAGAAGGTTCTTTCATCACACTCGGCGCAGTTTAGACAATAAGATCTAGAAGAAATGTTTCACTTTCTGGATCTCAGTGTCCTTCATTGCCAAGATTACAATTATTCAGCCTTCCTCAAATGAGGCAGGTTGATGTAACAAGTACTTCAAAATCTTTGATTTCAAATTAGAAATACTGCTGTATTCACAAGGAAACAAAGTCCTGCGTTAGTGTAGTGATCTCTGTCAGAATAGGGGCGAATATTCTTGAGTTATAGAGATGTGCCACAAGGACCATGAATAGTTTATATATTTCCAAAACTAAAAAAATGCAAAATGGCTTTAATATGCTAGAATTGGGGGGCCTGGTTCTATCTGTAATCTTGGATAAGTTACTTCACCTCTCAGAATCTTCTCTCGTACTGCAATATTTATCGAATGCCTATTATGTGTCAGACATTATGACTAGTCACTTTTGTAATTCCTGTTTTACAGATGAGGAAATAGTTTTAAATAATTATTTGCCCAGTGTCACATGACTAATCAAAAGAGGCAGGATTCAAAAGTATGTATCTAATTCTATGTTTTGCCACAAGCTTGCAACTCTTCCTAGAACCACAATTTAATCCAAACCTTTTGCAAACTAAAGTACCTTGTTATTTTTTTCTTTTGCTTATCAGCTCTCACTTGTCTGCTTTTACTTTAAACAGGGTTTGAAAGAAACAGAATACTCCCTTTGGTGTTTTCAAGGAAGTTCCTTCTGTTCCTCTTCAGTGCTGTCTAGAAGGTTTGGCTTTCTCCTTTCGTTTCCTTCTGTGATCCAAACTGAAGTGTCTGAAAAATCCAGTATGACTACTTTAAAATATGTTTTCAGATATCAGAACTCATTTTGAATGTAGTGGCATCCTCACAAGGTCAATTAGGCACCATTTGAGAATCCTCAAAGTAAAAGAAGTATTCAGAACTAAGTATATTTTTCATTTTTCCACCTGATAAAGTCTAGGTACCATTTAAGCAAGGCCTAAAAGAGCTAGAATATGGAAATGTAGAAATGAAAAAGGAGGGCACCTTAGAGGAAACAGCACACAACACATGTAGGCAGCAAAGAACAGAACTTGGGATAGTTCCAAGAAATGCCATGCTTCTGTACTTGTGCACAGAAGGTCACAACCCTATTTAAGCCAATAGCTTCTATAATGCACAATTTGTAATTAAATGGTGTGGTAGGCAGAATAATGGTCCCCCAGTGTCCTAATCCCCAGCATTTGTGATTATGTTAATTTACATGGCAATGGAGAATTAAGGTTGCAGGAATTAAGGACTTAAGGTGGCTAATCAGATGACCTTGAGATGGGGAGAGTCACCTGGATTATGGAATGGGCCCAGTGTAATCACGGTGCTTAAAAGTGGAAGAGGGAGGCAGAGGGAGAGTCACAGGCAGAAGTGACTAGGAATGGAAGGCCCAGAGAAATGCAAGGCTGCTGGTTTTGAAGATGGAGGAAGAGGCTCATGAGGCAAGGAATGTGGATGGCCTCTAGAAGTTGGAAAGGGTAAGGAAAAGATTCTCCTCTAGAACCTACGGAAAGGAATGCAGCTCTATTGACACCTTGATTTTAGCCCTCTGAGGCCCATGTCAGACTTCTATCCTACATACAGAACTGTAAGATAATAAATGGTTGTTGTTATATGCCACTTAATTCAAGGTAATTTGTTACAACAGCAATAGGAAACTAATACAAATGGTTATTTGTGTGATTACTCAAAGTCTTGCTCCTGTGGGATATAATGTGAGCCCCTGAAGGGCAGATACCCTGTTTTGCTCACTTTAATATCCTCAGCACCTGACAGAAAAAGTGTGAGATAAATGTTTGATGATTTTCTGTGTAAATGTCAGTCATATATTAC